TAAATGTATAAAAAAAGAGCATTTATCTCCCCTTGAATGTCTCCTGAGTAGTTTTATTCAATTTTTATAGACCTTCCGTTCGATTTTCGCATATTTTTCAACATTTTCTGTTAATTCTTAATTCTGTTACGTCTTACGCAGCAGGCTCTGTTATACAATCAACGGAATGAATTCAAGGGAACGCTTTTTCTCTATATATTCTATAGCTGTTTTCATACAAATTCAACTGGCATGCTTTCTCTCTTTATATTTTACGTGTATTTTTCATACAAATTCAACTTGCATACTTTCTCTCTTTATATTTTAGTTTATTAGTCGTCGAAAATTATAATAATTTTGTTAAGATATAAGTGAGAAAGTGCAACAGAAAAAAATCGAAGAATTGTAAGAGAAAATTATGTGAGCAAGAGGGAGAATTGTAAAATATATGACCAAGAGAAAATTACATGAGCAAGAGGAAAGCAACGTAAAACATATGACCAAGAGAAAATTATATGAGCAAGAGGAAGAACTGTAAAATATATGAGCAAGAGGAATAATTGTGAATTATATGACCAAGAGGAATAATTGTAAAATATACGAGCAAGAGGAATAATTGTGAATAATATTATTATTGTGAAGAGGAAGAATTGTAAAATATATGAGCAAATGGAAAGAATTGTAAAATATATGACCAAGAGAATATTATATGAGCAAGAGGAAGAATTGTAAAATATATGAGCAAGAGGAATAATTGTGAATTATATTAGCAAGAGGAAGAACTGTAAAATATATGAGCAAGGGAAAATTATGTGAGCTTTACTTTTTTATATGAGCGCACACTAAGTGTTGAATAAAAACAAATAAAGAAGGAGCGCTAATAAAGAAACCTTATTCGATTTAAACTGATTTGGAGATATGCCCATCTGTCATCAACGCAATCGATTTAGATTAATTTTCTATTTACCCGCCACTGTGTTCATGTAAATTTTCGTCAATCTATTTTGTTTGCAATTTTGAACCTATTTTAAGATACATTAGCAAACTTGCACATTTTGCTCCAGGCACGAAGCTTGGACGATTTTTGCGATCACTTTACATATATAGCATATTTTAACAAAATTTACACAAACCTCTGTAGAGAATCCAATGACTGGCCTTGCTCGATTACGAGGTTGTAACTTATTTTTTAAATAAGTTTTCAACATGCAATGGATACTTGCAAAATAATTTCCGCCCCAAGTTGTTATAGAAAAACGAATATTCTCTTTTCAGGTTATTGAAGGGTGTGTTAATGACTAAGAGCTTAAAATAGCAGGAAAGAAATTTTGTAAAATGTTTACGCTTTTAAAGTGATTTTTCTACTTTTAAGCAAAGCGATTGAAAATATTTTCTGGTTACAAGTTTTAAATAATTAAGAAAATTGAAAATATCCGCTAGCTTTTCTAAACGAAGTCGAGCCAAAAATTTAAATAATACTTGCAAGTAAATTTAGGGTTAACTTTTGAAATTTTAATTTATATAAAATTTTTTGATATTTAATCTTCTTAAGCCATGATAAAAGAAAAAATATTGTTTTACGTTGGACGCCTTTACGCCAAGCCTCCTAATGGCCTCTCTGCATTTTGTATTTCAGTTTACGTTGGATTGTTGATCCCGCTCTCTGACATATTTAACTCTAAATCTTAATCATAAAAGATTAGATTTTTCCTATAAAATCGTCTTCGTCAATATGCCAAAATTATGCTAATAAACTTAAGTTTATTATTAAGCTTCGAAATGGTTAGATAGTTTTATTCAAACTCATTTTTGGCTATTTAGCAAATATTGCGTTCATTCTGGCATCGGAACCAAGCACATGCAAACGAGAAGTGTAATTTTACCTGTGAGCAGTTGTCTGCTTTAACTACGGCATATTTACAACTAATTAAACTTTGAGAGCAAACAATTGCAAGTTTCGTGTAAAATTCGAATAAGTGCATCATACAATTTATAGTACTTCCATATCGATAAGAAGTTCAAGGTCTTCTGGTTGAATTCCGCTTTGAAAAGCTCGATATCTTCACGCTCGTATTAAGCAAGCTTGAACCTACCTGCAAGACAATGAAAACAAAAATAGTGTGTAAAAACTTTGCCAGGAACGCAAATATGAACTTGATCGGTAAGCAACTCATTTCTTATGTGGCTAAGTTAAGTTTACTTGAAATTGTTGATTGCATTTTTACAGCCATCACCGAAGGCTGGGGATATACTCACTTTGTCAAAACGTTGCACCTCCCAGAAGGAATCTTCAAAGATCTCGCAAAGTACATATTTTCTTAATCAGAGTCACCTTCTAAATCGATTGAAGCTTCTTTGTCTGCTCGTATGTGTATTTTTTCGTATAAGCTTTCTGCTGGCCGCAAAAATGAATCTATCGGTTTCAAATTTGGCAGACACATTGCAAGTTCGTACGTTAGCATTGAAAAAGACTCAAATCCTTCCGAGGTCACCCATGGAAAAAGTTTCTTATAATGTCGAACACTAGGCCAATCTTATCTGTTTCACAATCGTTTCCTCCATGTGACACACATCCTTATGTACTAGAGATCATTTCTTTGCTATACAATTTCAAATCATGCATTTTGTTTTTATTTTCTGTGGGTGTCTAGTCACATGGCTATACATGGAAATACAATTGCTGATAATATCGCGTCTTTCAGATCATCACATATCATCAAAGGCCGCGTTCGGATATCTGCTGACTTGAGGGTGATCAACAAGCGGCATTCAGTCCTTTACAACAAGCAGAAGAAGCGTCTGGGTTTGATATTTTAGAAATAACGAACTTTGTAAAAGATGGGTACAGAGTTTGCTCACAATTTGGCCACTTCGAAATGAAGCTTCAGTACATTTAGGACCAATTTATTTGAATTTCTTTATCGTTGCGCAATTGTGAACCCAGAATGGAATCTCTTTTTTTCCGACAAATGGAAACCAGGGTCCTTTACGCACAAAGAGACGCTGAAATTTGTTTCAAATACGTGTATGGTTCGAATTACGTGCGGTTTCTTAAAAAAAGTTAAGCTATTTTCTCAAATGTTACGTTTCCAATCCACTCAAGCAATTTCATAAATGTAAATAAAATTCACCAGTCAATCTCATCAATATTGAGCCTACTTAAATTCAATCACAGTCTTTTAAGGCTTAAGTATTTGGCTGCAACTATTCATTAATCTCGTTATGATTAAAAAAACACAAAACTGTGTTAAAGACGTTTCATTGTCCTCCTTAAAATTCGATAGTAACGCAGTCGGCAACAGCTGCTCTTTACGCGTCTGTTGATGCGTCACGTGAGAGGTAGATTTTTAGCAAAATTTTCAACAAAATTAGATGCGACAGCTGCTGCCCAAGATAATTTAAATCTTGCTCAATTTAAATTTCATTAACATTCAAATGAAATACTTACTTACAACTTGCGCTTGATTTACTCTTCTTAACTTCGTTCCTATTGTGTTCTCTTCCGCGGTAGCATTTCATTCCCTCTCCCATCAAAGTACTTTTTTTAGTTTTTTTTTTTTATTGCTAGCAGGTGGCAATTTTTAAAACTAATTTGCATGACCTTTGAACTTGAAAATATGCAGCAGTTATTCGCTTGTAAATATGTAAATAAAAAAGGAATCTTGCAAACAATAACAAGTATGTGTATATACTTTTGCGTTTGCAGTGAATATAGTTTC